ACGTCAAACAAGGCATAAACTGGCGCAGCGAAAATGCACAGAGATATCTATTGTCGTCGTCGTGTTTTTTTTGTTTTTGTTTTTGTTTTTCTGCGTCTGTGTACAAAGCTGCTTCTGTGGGGTTGTACACACACCGCAGAGCTGTTCCCTCTCCCCACTTTTCCCCTCTCCCTTTCCTGTTCTTTTTTTTTTTTGCGTGTGCGTGTGCGTTGCCCACTTCTATCTCGCTCTCTCCTTCTCCTTCTCCTTCGCCCTTGCGCCGTTGCGGCTGTGCCGTCTACATTCTCTACCTTGACGCTCTGTCCCTCCCCGCCTCCTACTCCTTTTTTCCCCCTCCCCCCTCCTTTGTCGTCGCCACCCCCGCCTGCGTGAGAACTGGGGAGAGAGATAGTTTGGGGAGGAAGCAACTCTGGGCGCGATGGACTTGAACCCCCTCGAGGCCGACTACGACCTCTACACGGTTGACAGGACGTTCGTCCTGTCACTGTTTCACGGCTTCTGCACGGCGGTGCCGGCGGAGGTGCGGAGGCAGCTGGCAACGACCGAGGTGGACGCCGTGCAGCACGTGCTGATCCTGCGGCCCAGGCTGACGAGCTTCACGCACCGCTGCAACATCTCCCTGCGACACCCGGCCGTGTCGATGGCGGCGCGGCTGTACTACAACAAACAGCGCGCCGCTCTCGAGGAGGAGCGAGGGCCGCTTGGCGAGGACATGGCAGGGAACACGTCCCTGCACGCGGGCTCCACGGCCGCGCGTGGGAGCGTGATGGGGCGCCGCTACTCGCGGCGTGTGTCGTTGCAGGGACCCGCGGAGTTTGCGAAGCCGATCACGCTGCAGCAGCTGGCGCGAAACAACTGGGAGCTGGTGGCGTCCTGCTACGATGTCATGCTGCGGAATTCGCAGCCTCGTCGTATTGCGACGTGGGCCATCGCGTCGAACGAGTTCGTGAACGATGTTATCTGCCGCTACTGGGAGCGCATCACGGTGCCCCCGGGCGATGTCGAGCTAAGCCCCCGCTTTGACCTCGGCCACAAGTCGGCCTCCGTTTCCGTCAGCTTGGAGGGCGGCAATGCGACGTACGCCACACGGATGACCGCCTCGCAGTACGTCTACTTGCATCTCCGCATTGCAGGCGTTTTGCTCCCGCCCTCCTCGCTGCAGGCGGAGATACTGGACTCCATCATTCTCGACCTACGCATGGATGCCACGCTGAGCCAGAGCCCCGCCGGGTTGTCGTTTGGGCGGGCACCGGAGCTCTACGGCAACCGAGCCAACGAGGACGCCCTCGCGGAGGATTCGCAGGGCCTGGAGTCCTCTTCCGAGGTCTCCCATTGCCCCGGCGAGGACACCCTCGCGCAGCTGACGGAGATCGCGGGGAAGTCGAAGGTCGCCTCAGACGTGAACAACTTCAACACCTCCCTCGCCGACCTTCCCGACATCAGCTTTGGCCAGTTTTGGCAATCCATGCTGGAGCTCTCCGACAACTGGACAAGCACCTCGCACCCGATGGAGCACGCCGCGTTCTTGATGGAGCTCTACTGCGAGGTGTTTGCCCACGAGTGGGACGACGAGGAGTTGGCCCTCCTCAAGGCGCTGCGCGCCACCACCGAGGCCCGCCAGCAGGAGGATCTCCTCTCGCTCATGGACGACGAGGAGAGGAGCCTGTACCTGCTCTCCGAGTTCAACCACATGATGTGGTCCATCGGCGAGTACGCCATCTCGGGGTCCTCGTACCAGCCGAGCATCCCGATCCTCCGGCGGCCGCCGTCCGCCGGCGAGGTCCCCACCGCGGCCAGTTCCCTCCTTCCGGGGTCGGCCGACAAGACGCGGGGCTCCTCGCGGACCTCGTGGAGGTCCGAGGAGCGGCAGGGTTCCGGGCTGCACCGGGACAAGCACAGATCGTCGTACCGGGGCAGCAGCGACTCGCGCCGGCGCAGCGAATCGCGCCGGCGCAGCGGCGATGACGAGGAAATTGAGGGGGATGAGGCGGAGGCGAGGAGGAAGAGCGGGCGGCGAGGGAGAAGGTCGCGCCGCGGAGGCAAGGAAGGGGTTGGCGCGGGTGCAGGCTCCCTTGACCGCAGCGAGGCCTCGGAAGAAGAGAGCGCACGCCGGCGACGCCGGAAACGCCACCACGGCGGCAGCTTAGAGGGAGGCGGGGACGAGGGCTACGAGTCCGAGGAGCTGCTGGAGGGGGAGCGGCGCCTCGTGGGCGAAGCCCGCAGCGGCCGCGAGCGGTACAGGCGCAGCACGTCGGGAAGGGACGGGCAGCGCCTCTCCCAGCACGCCTCTGGCCTCTCTCGGCAAGCCTCTGGCTTCTCCGCGTCAGCGAGTTCGCGCGCCTCGGCGGGGCCGCAGCTTCGGCGAGCTTCTTCCGCTGGGCGGGCCCGTCGGCGTCGCAGCGGCTCTGCCAGAGTCTCTCGCGCAGAAGAAGAAGGGGAGGAGGAGGAGGAGGAGGAGGAGGAGGAGGCCGTGGAAGCCGGCGGTGTCCGTCGCAGGCGGCGAACGCGTGGGCGGGAAGACGCAAAAGGGCACAAACGCGACGAGGAGAGCGAAAGTGACGAGTTCTCATGGGGCACGGCGTCGAGTTCGTTCTACTCGCGACCGGACGATGAGTTGACGCCCAAGTCGCTCGCGGAACGGCAGCAGGAGCGGGCGCGGCGTCGGCAGGAGCAGGCGCGGCGTCGGCAGGAGCGGGCGGAACGGCAGCAGGAGCGTTTGGAGCAGCGTAAGCAGCGAGAGGAGGAGCGTCGCCGCCTCTCAGCGCTCACGCCGGCGGAAGAGATCAGTAAGCGGCGTGATGAAATTGTGCGAAGTCTGCAAGCGAAGGGCATCTACATTAGTGGGGGCATCCTCTCAGACGAGGATGTCTTGCAACTCAGCGAAAACGTCTTCAATGAGGAGCTGCTGCGGCGACTGCTGGAGGGCGCCGGGTACGCGACGGGGGAGATGAAGGAGTCCGACTTCCTACACATCTTGTTTGGGGAGCAGGGGCCACCGCCGGCTGGGGTGAGTGCCGCGGCGCGAGGGCGTGTTCTCGACGCACTGCGCGCGCTGCCGCAACGGCGACCACCAGAGACGGCGTACGCCCGCCTTCGCCGCGAGCGGCAGGAGAAGCTGCTGCGCGAGCGGGCGAGGGCCGCCGCCATTGCCGCCGCGGAGAGCCAACGAGAGGAGCGGGGCCGTGCCCGCGAGGAGGCGGAGAGATCCGGCTCCTTCTTCTCGGCGTGGTTGGAAGAGGCGGAGTCCGAGGGCTCCGAGTTTTTGCCCGTCGCCCCGCCCCAGCGTCCGCCGCGCGGCAAGGGAGAAGTGCTCCCCATCGTACAGCCACCACCGCCGCCGGAGGCCGAGTTATTCGCGGGGCTGTGGCCACCCTCCATGCGGCGTGGGGCGCGGCGGCCCACGCGGGCCGGTTTGCCCCCCCACCTCGGGGCGCTGCGCGGGGAGGAGGTGGCGCTGGAGGTGTTGCCCCACTTGGCGCGGGAGCCGCCGGAGGGGCTGCACGAGCACTCACCGGCGCAGCTGGCGCTGTTTTACCGCGACATTGAACCCCACCGGCCCTTCAAGGGACGTGCGCCGCTGGCGCAGCCGACCTCCATCCTCGGCGGCACGTACCACCAGCTGTCCACGCTCCGGCTGTCGCGGGGCGCGGGCCGGCGGGGGACGCAGGACGCCCTCGCACCGCAGTCCTCGTCCCCGCCCCGGTGTGCGCCGGTCAAGCTGTTTTCACTCACGACCAAAACGTCTTTTGCAGAGGCGCTTCGCGAGAGTCTACGGCGCTACTTCGACGACAAGGAGTACCTGGAGAACATCTACGGGAGTCATGCTAAGTGAGGCGGCTGCCGCGCTGCGTAGACCCACACACGCACACACGTATATATTTATATATACGTATACATTAGGTCTGTTTGAGTGCGTGAGTGGAGAGAAGGGCGCGGGTGTGGATGCGATCATTTCTCCGTGTTTTTAGTTTTTAGTCTTTTTTTTGCTTTTGTGCATTCCTCGTTCTCCTTTTGGGGCCCTCCCGTGTTGTACCAGCCCACGTTGCTGCCGCTGCTGCGCATGTATAGTACCACCCGCACCGCCGCGTCGCACAGGCTCTGCCTCTGCCGCCTGTCGTTTTCCACCCGTCTCTCTGCCCATTCCCTCCCCGGCAGCAGAAGCAGCCGCCGCACCCCCATACCGTGGCGCATGACATCGGTGCCTCTTTTTCCTTTCCTTTTTTTGTTTTCTTTCTTTGCCTCTCCCTCTCTCTCT